TATTTATCTATGTATTTATTTATTTATTTGTTTATTTATTTTTCTTTTCTCTTTTATTCTTTTGTTTCATGTGTTTTATCCATTTAATCTTTCACTAATGGTTTAAATTCATGATTCGAGTCTCCCAGTGTTATATATATGTGTTTGGGTTCTCATGCAGTAGCAACCCATTTAACATTTCACAAAGGACTTGAATGTATGTGTGTCACTTTATAGATTGGAAAGATTGCAAATTTAGTAAGGCGCAAAGTCAAACCTGGAATACAGTTTGATTCCCCAAATTTGAGATTTTACATCAAATTTAAGATTTCAAATACATTAGGCTGGGTGTTGAATTCCTCATGTTTTCTGGTTTTACGTCAAATTTCAGTTGTATTAGGCTGGGTGTTGAATTCCTCATGTTTTCTGGTTTTACGTCAAATTTCAGTTGTATTAGGCTGGGTGTTGAACTTGGAGTAGAACGAACACTGCAGAAAGACTGATGATGAGGACACCCATTTGAAGGAAAGGTTCAGTTTTTAGTTTTAGTTAAAGTTTTTTTACTGCTTTTGCAACAGAAATAGGTCATATAAGTGCCAAGGATTAGAGGTGTTAGTAGTAGTATAGGGTTTTACGGCGCTCGCAACTGCATAGAGAGTAATATACAAAGAAGAGAAAGAGGAGAGATTAAGACAATAGATAGATTTCTAGAGGAAAGAAGTAGCAAACTACACCAGAGCACAAGCCACCCACCCACAAGAAGAAGAAGAAGAGAGAAAGAGAGGGTGAATTCAAGAAGGAGACGGAACAAGAGCAGTACCTTAGAAAGACATGAAATTGAGAGGGAGGAAAGAGAAAGCGTGTTCATCCTCTATCTTTTTCTCTGTGTGTCTATTCCCACAGGTCGTTAGTGCCTTTGAAAAATGAGGATGACGATGAAGAAGAAGAAGAGGAAAAAGCCGGGGCTCACTTAGAAGTGAGGTTCTTCAGTGTCATGACCTTCTACTACCTGGTGAGTGATCACTGCGCCGACACAAAGCTCCACACATAGCAATTATGAGGCACGCTGACAAATTGAGTTACTTCTCACATTCCACAAATGGAGATACTAGCCCAAAATCAACATTAGGGTGTGAATTTTTTATAGATGCTATATTCTTTAACTCTAGCCTGTCTTTTATTATTCATACTTATACATTGTAAAAACTTCACCTATAATCCTGATGAGTCTATTTAATAAAGACTTGGATCCGAGAACTAACTCATTTTGTCAGCACACGTAACAATTGTGTCACGTCGACGTGTGGAATCAGGCACTCGTCAATTTTTGGGCATGTGGAAATAGTATTATCCTCTTAACTCTTTGCGGACACGCATTCTGCCCATTCGAACACTTGAAGACACGATATTCGGGAATACTAAAAAAGCATTACCTCCTGATTCATACGTAGTTTTCATTTCTGTTTCCTTTATCTGGTACTTAAAAAGACAGATAACAATAATGTAAACGATGATATATGCAAGCTTGTATTTCGAGTTTTGAAATATCCCTCAACTTTGCTTTTGATCTGCTGCTGTCTGACTTATGTGTCCACTTCGTCCTTGACGAGTTAAAACTTGTTCTTTTGTCTAGCATTCAAGGAAGAAAATACTCGTCTGTCTTGAATAGAAGTCAAGACATTCCAATGGAAAAAAGTGGGGGTCACCTTGTTTCAGAGGTAACATTATCGAGAAAATGGCTACAAAAGTTTGGTAACTTCCATAGCTTGAGAGTCCTTGGGAAATGAGAATTTACACTTTTATGTGCCTTTCATTAATCAAAGTTTTCCTGTAAAATCCACACAGAAAGGTGTTTTTAGATAGATGAGAAAAGGGTTGAGCCAAAAGACGAAAATTCAATTAATTTTGTCAAACTGGCTTGAAAATGCTGTTTTCTTCAGTTTCATTATTTTGACGAGCGCCTGGTTTCACCCCAATACGCCACAATTTGTCCCGTCGACAGTTAGCCACGACAGAGATGATAAGACAATTTTAATGAAGGTCCTTGGGGTTTGACAAAAGTGACAACAAATGGAATTTTTCCCACAATGCATAACTTTTATCAACTGAACCTTTTGTTTCCATCATTTTTTTTCACACTTGGATGGAATTTAATTTTGGGCAGTCAGATTCAGAATGGAGCGGAGGGTCAGTTACAAATGTGGTTGTAATTTCTTGCCAGTAAAGCCACAATGGTTTCTATATGTCATTAGAAATGGAAATATATGTAAAAATCAGAATATGTGAACTGCTTGGACAAAAGAGAAATCAACTTGTAATTCAAGGCGACAATTTACACCCAAAAAAACATGTAACTTTGTTTATGGCTATTGATTGCGTGTATTTGCCTGCGTCGTTCCCACCCTCAGACGTTCCTGGTGTGTTCCGGCCTTGGCACAGTTTTCTACGGCTACTTCTTCTCCTTCCACCTGCTCCACATGGCCCTGATGAACCAGCTGCTCAAGAGGGTCATCCAGGCGGTCACTCGGAATGGTCAGTTTGTTTTGTTTGGGGTTTTGTTTGTTTGAGTTTGAAAACCCTGTTAGACACCTCTATACTATAGATAAGAAGAAGAAGAAGGAGAAGGAGAAGGAGAAGAGAAGGAGAAGGAGAAGGAGAAGAAGAAGAAGAAGAGAAGGAGAAGGAGAAGAAGAAGAAGAAGAA